TCCAGTGATTACCCAGGATTGGGTATCATTTAAATGATACCTGGTCACTAGGAAAGACAAGATGAGGATACTACACGGCTTGGATCACCAAGCAGACTTCATGATATAGACTTGTTGGCGTTCCGGCCAAACTACCAGGCTAGCTACATAAGACGTCATTTTCTTGGGCTTGCAGTAGAATATATCTCAAGTATGGGCTTCTCTAGTGGCTCCGCAGGAAAGAATCTGCCTGCCAAGCAGGAGACATGGACTGGATCCCGGGGTCGGGAAGATCCCCCGGAGAAGGAAATGGCAACCCACTCCAGGGCTCTTGCCTGGGAAGGCCCACTGACAGAGGAGCCTGGTTATAAGCCGTGGGTTATAAGCCATGGGGTTCTCCAAGAATCGGATACAACTTAGCGCTTAAACCACTACCACCATGTCTCAAGTATATCTTAGAGAGAAAAAAAAAAAAAACACCAAAATTCTGGAAGGAAAACCACTTGAAAGGCTTAGGTGGAAAAAGGAGAAAGAGGATATTTGTGTGCCTAAACCATCAAGGGTGCTTTGTATGTTAAACAATGAAAGAGACTCCATGTCAAATATGAATGATATAGACTTAGCTGGATTAGCGAAGAAAAAAAAAAAAAACACAAAACCAGGCTCATAAATACAACTAGAAATGAAAGCGAGTACATTAAAACCAATGGCACAAAAATAAAAGGGATTCAAAGAGAATAATGTGAAAACCTGTAAGCAAGCACAGTGAATAGCCTGGAAGAAACAGATGAATTGCTAGAAATATACACGCTATCGAGATCAAAGCAAAAACAAAGTCTGTTCAAACCTCTAAGTATTATGGAGATTAATTCAGTAATCAGAAGCCGTCCGACAAGGAAAACAGGACTAAATGGATTCACCGGAGAACTCCACCAGACTGTAAAGAATTAGCACATATAGTACTCAAACTCTTCCCCACAATTAAAAGAGGACGATACACTCCCAAACTCATCCTCTCAGGCCGGCATTACCCTGGCACCAAAGCCAAAGAAACAACAGAAACTGAGGCAAACACACTCAACAAGATACTAGCAAACTTATTTAAATAGCACGTTAAGAGGATTCTTCTACACCGTGAAGAAGAGGGATTTATTCCTGGAGTCTTAAGGATGGTTCAACATACAAAAAAAATCAATGTGACACCCCATATTAACAGAATGAAGAACAAAACCCAAAGGATCGTCTCAGCTGATGCAGAAAAAGCATTTGGAAAAAACTCAACACCCTCTCATGATATAAACACTCAAACTAAGAATAAAAGAAAAGGACCTCGACATAATGAAAGCCATATATGAAAATTCCATAGCTAACATCATACTCCGTGTTAAAAGGCTGAAAGCTTTCTCTGCGATCATAAACAAGAAAACAATGCTTTCTCTTGTCGATTTTATTTCACACAGCTCTGTAAGTCCGAGCCAGAGCAACTAGGCAAGGAAAAGAAATAATAGACCTCCACACCGGAAAGGAAGAAGTGAAGTCATCTGTTTGCATGTGAAATGGTCTTAAAGGTAGAAAACTCTAAAGATTCCACACATACATAAGACTAGTAGCGCTATTAATAAACTTCAGCAAAACTGCAGGTGACAAAAATCAGCATACAAAAGCCAGCAGCATTTCTACACACTAACAATGAAAAATTTGAAAAGAACGTTTGAACAAATCCACATATAACTGTGTCAAAGAGAAATAAAAGTAGGGTGAAAGACCTGTAATGCTGAAACTACAAAATACTGGTAGAATAAACAACAGAAGACACAAATAAATTGGAAAGACATCCCATATCCATGGGCCAGAAGATCTGATAACTTTTATTGTGCCCATAGTACACAAAGTGGTCTACAGATTCAGAGGAATCCATACCAAAATCCCAATAGCACTTTTTGTTGAAATACAAAAATCAATGCCAACATTTATATGGACTCAGTGGAACCTGAATAGACACAAACTATTTTGGAAAAGAAGAACAAACTTGGAGAATCTCACACTTCCAGGTTTCAAAACACATGACAAAGGTATGTTAATTAAAACAGTCTGGTACTGACATAAAGACACACATATAGACCAATCTCATCGAATAGAGAGCCTGGAAATAACTCTTCACGGGTATAATGCCCAGGTGACATTTCAACAAGGCGCCCAGGATGACTGAACAGAGAACAGGACAGTCTCTTCAACAAAATGTGTTTAGGAACATGGATATCCACATGGAAAGAGCAAAGCTGGACCCTTATACCATATACAAAAGTTAATATAATATGGATTAAAGGCCTAAAGGTAAGAGCTAAAACTGCAAAATTCCTAAAAGAAAACAGAAAGAAAGCATTACGACACAGGATTTTTTTTTAACTCTTGGATATGATACTAAAAACACAAGCAAGAGCAGGAACAGCCAACGGGAGTGCATCAAACTTAAAAAGTCTTGGGTATCAAGGGACACACTCAACACAGTGAAGAAGCAACCTTTGAAGTGGGAGGAAATACCTGCAAACCACATAGCTGATAAATGGTTTGTATCTAGAATTTATTATATGAAGAATTCCTAGGACTCAACAAGAAAAAAAAAAAAAACATCAAAAAATGGGCAAGGGACTTGAATAAACATTTCTCCAAAGAAGACACACAAATAGCTAACAGCAAGAAACAACACTCTGTGTCATTAATTATTCAAGAAATTCAAAACCAAGACATAATGGCTTCACACACATTAGGACGGCTACTATCAAAAAGAGAGAAAATAACCAGAGTTGGTGAGAATGTGGAGAAACTTGAACCCTGGTGGACTGTTGGAGGGAGAATAAAATGACACGGCCAGTATACAAGACAATTGGGGGAATAGTCAAAACACTGAAGAGAATCACCTTATCATTTGATAATTGCACTTCTGGGACTGCACCCCCCCAAAAAATAAATAAAAGCAAGGTCTTGAAGAAGAGGCAGAAGCAACCCAAGTATTCAGTGATGGATGAAGAGATAAGCCAAGTGAGGCCCATCCATACAACAGAGTATGATTCTGTCTTCAAAGGCAGAGAATCCTGTCACATGCTACAACATGTGAAATCAAAGCACTGATGAACCTCGAGGTCAGTCACAAAAGGACAAGCACTGTGTGAGACACCTGTGTGTGCATGCTCGCTCAGTGAGGCCTCACTCTTTGTGAGCCCATGGGCTGCAGCCCGCCAGGCTCCTCTGTGCCTGCGGTTCCCCAGGCAAGAATCCTGGAGTGAGTTTGCTGTTCCCTTCTCCAGATCTTCCTGACCCACCGACTGAACCCGTGTCTCCTGCACTGGTAGGTGGGCTGTTTAACACTAGTGCCATGTGAGATACCGAGAGTAGTTCAAATTCAGAGAGACAGAAAGCAGAAGGGTAGGTCCCCAGAGTTGGAGAGAGAGACGGGGGAAGGGATGGAAGTTGGGGTTTACTGGGGACACAGTTCCAACTCCACGAGGTACAAGGTGGAGAAAGATGGATGCCGTTGCTGGTTACACAGCCACCTGAACATTCTGAACGCTCAGCGGGCACACTAACCAATGGGTAAGATGGTAAACTTTTCGCTAAGTGCTTCTTGTGACATTGATTAACAGCTGTGCTTCCATCATTAACGCTTGTTGGCATTCCAGTGTGTGCAAACGGCCCAGAAAGGCAGCTGGTGAAGGGAGTGTGTATCACGGTGCTTGTACTCACATGCTGAGGTATGCGTGTGTGTGCACGTGTATCTCTGTGACATACAAGTGTATGTGTGACATACGTGTGTGCGACGTGTTTGTGTGTGACGAATACTTGGGTGCGTGTAACATGTGTGTGACATTCATGTGTATGTATGTGTGACGTACCACGATGTGTGTCTGTGTGTGTGTGTGTGTGATCCAAGAACAGCCCACACGGTTTCTTTATAACACAACACAGCAGTAATAGCAGGGCCCTTTCCAGGAAATTCACTCATTCCAGGGGAAATTCAATCTGCCCCTCTGGATATATGTATAAACGTAGATAATTACACATGTTTCAAAAATGACTATGACTCATGTTAACACCATTCTGAATCCAAAATTACTGCTGTGACTGTAAACTTTTTTCTCCCTGAGCACCAGGGATTCTAAAGACTGAGTGATTCACCTTTCTTCCTAGAAGAATCTTAAAATAACACTCCATTTTTAAGCCATTTTTGTCCCTGTAACCTAGAACATTCTTGACCTTCTCACTTATAGTAAGAAATAGCAGGCAGTTCTGTTGTTCCATCTACAGCTAACAAGCCCCAGGGGAGAAAAGTCATCTTTCCTCTCAAAGGAAAACAAGTAAAGGCCACACAAACAGACATGTTAGAACCGAATTACACCTTTAACTCTTAAAAGAAGTTTTTTTTTTTTTCAACTTCTTTAGGGAGATTTAGCTGCTTGCCTATCATCCACATGTTCAAGTTTGCACAGCTGGGGAAACATGAATGCGCTGTCTGATTGTGAAAAGCAAAAGCCGCCTATCTGAAACTCGGAAGCAATTCTCTCAGGAATGTGATCTCTAGGTCACACTGAGACAAACAAAATGCAAATGTTTTCAGACCTCAGGAATGAGAGAGAAGAATGTATATTAAGAAAGCTTAAAAATGACAAGCAGATGATGCTGTTATTGTTTAGTCACTGAGTCACATCCAACTCTTCTGTGACCCCCCTGAACTGTAGCCCGCCAGGCTCCTCTGTCCGTGGAATTTTCCAGGCAAGAACACTGGAGCAGGTGGCCAAGCCTCCTCCAGGGGATCTTCCCGGCCCTGGGATCGAACCTAAGTCCACTGCGCTGGCGGCCGGTTCTCTTCCACTGGGCCACCCGGGAAAGCCCACAGCACGTGCCAGCATCCTCCAAAGTCTCTAATGAGTCCCTCGGAGCCTTACTAGGGAGGAGATCTTCCGAGAGATTATCAGGGCAGAGGAGAACGCTAGCGTGGCCGGCGGCAGGCTCAGAGGGGACCTCACCTGGCATGAGCGCGGCCGTGGGGAAGACCTCCTTCAGCTTGGCCTGGCTCATCTCCACCAGCTCCTCCGCGGACATCGGGAGCTGCAGCGTGTCTCTGATCAGCTGGGCCGCCTCCAGCGCCTTCTTGCCCATCACCAGCGACTTCACGTCCCAGCTGTACTTCTTCCCGTAGCGCCCGCAGATGTCCTCAAAAACGACCGAGTAGAGCCGCTCAGTATCTGCGGAGACGAGGGGGCAGAGACACAGCGGTGTTGAGGGATGTGCTCACAGCGTGCAGAGCCAGCGTTCCGGGCAGACAGCTTGGAGGAGGGGCGGGGGGTGGGGGGGCAGCCTGTGGATGTGCAGGGGACGCCGGTGGGTTCGGAGGACCACACGGTGCCCTGGCGGCCTGCCCTCTGCTGCTCTGGAACCCTACAGGGTGGGAGGGAAAGGAAGTCTGTCTGTGCGCGGCTGCGTCCAAGGCCACACTCCCGTGCACCGCCGCCCGCCAGGCCCCTCTGTCTGTGGGATTCTCCAGGCAAGAATCCTGGAGTGGGGGCCTCCCTGGTGGCTCAGTGGGGAAAGAATCCGCCTGCCAATGCAGGGGACATGGGTTCGAGCCCCGATCGGGGAAGATTCCCACCTACCTCGGAGCCACTAAAGCCCTGACGGAGACTGGGCTGCACAGCCCGGGAGCTGTAACTACTGAGCCCTGTGCCGTGACTACTGAAGCCTGCGTGCTCCAGAGCCTGTGCTCCGGCAGAGAGAGCCCACACACCGCATCTACACGGTAGGCCCCGTTCTCTGCAACTAGAGAAAAGCCTACACAGTGAGGAAGAGCCGGTACAGACAAAAATAAATTATTTAGGGAAAAAAAAAGAATACTGGAGTGGGTTGCCATTTCCTCCTGCAGGGGACCTTCCAGACCCAGGGATCGAACCTTGGTCTCCCACACTGCAGGTAAGATTCTTAACCGCTGACCCACCAGGGAGCTCAGGAAATGTCTGCGTTATGGTTCAAGCGTCTTTTCCGTTGACTGGTACGTTCCACTGAGCCTGACCACTACCGAGACTTGGCGTCCTGACGGAGCACCCGCCAGTGTGCACGCTGCAGTCTCTGTGCAGGACCTCCACGAGGGACCGTCCGAGTGCTCTGCACACCCTGGAACCCCTCCCGGCGGGAGCGTGTGGACGCGCGCGCGGCTCTGAACGACGCTCCTGTGTGAGCACAGACGCCCGCCTGCAGCTCCCAGGAGGAAGGCACAAGTCCCGTGTTCTCCGTTTCCGCCACCCACCCCCAGCGATCGTGCAGCAGCAGGGTTTCCCTGCAAGGTGACTTGATTCTACACTTTGTGGCAAAGGGCTCGGGCCCAGGAGACCACCCCCTCTCGCCCTTCCTCTCCTGCTCTGCTCTGGCTGGTCCTCCCTGCCTGCAGCCCGCTTCCTAGGAAGGGGCCCTGGACACTCGGCCACGTGGCGGCAGGACCCAGCCTTGGACAAGGAGCAGCAGCAGAGAAGGGCTTTGCTTTCTCCTCTGCTTTTGAAGGCGAAACCACATATTGCTGCGTATCAAGTACAAACTCATCTTCAATGTTTTAACTATCTAGGTCCTCGCTTTTCTACCATGGGCTGGATTTGGGGAGACGGTGAGGGTTGGAGGGGCACTGTAAGAGACACACAAGCAGATCCCTTGTAGCTCAGTCAGTAAAGAATCCACCTGCAACGCAGGAGACCTGGGTTCGATCCCTGGGTTGGGAAGATTCCCCTGGAGAAGGAAATGGCGACCCACTCAAGTATCTCTGCCTGGAAGATCTCAGGACAGAGGAGCCTGGTGGGTTGCAGTCCCTGGGGTTGCAGTGAGTCGGGCCCAAGTGAGCGACTAACACTTACACTTACCAAGCAGCTCTCAGCACTCCATCCTGGTGCACACCTGCCTGCCCTTGCTCAGGCACAACCCAGGGGTTGAGTGACAGATCCCTGCTGTGCTTTCCTTTCTGGGACAAAAGAAGGTGAGACTTAAGTCTTCCTGGGCTCCTTGGCGGAGGAAGCCAGTGTTTGCATCATAACCTGAGAGGCTCCGATTTCTTCCAGAGCCCCTCCTGCCTGTCACCTCCCTGAAGAAGTCCCGACAGAGCGGGCAGGGGGCGGGGCACGCGTGCGGGGACAATGAGGAGTCCGTGTCGAACGCCTGCTCACATCCTGCTTCCCTCAAGCCCGGGAGGGCTCTGCAGACGTGGAGAGGCAGGGCCTGGCAGGCAGCCTGTGTACACTCCACCTGCTTCCTGTGAACACTTTTCTTGCAGCAGCTGGGAGAGAGAGACTGACGAGACACTGCAGGCACCAAGCGAGTGAGGAATGACCGCTGGGTCTGGAAAGCACGCAGAGTGCCAGGAAAAACAGCAGAGGTTGGGCGCGGAGCACCGCTCGGGACTCGCCATGAGCCAAGCGCAGGAGGAAGAAGAAATGAGCATGAGAAAAGACAAATTCCAAAGACAGAGAAGAGCTGTATTCTTTTAAAACACGCGACACGGTGTTTCTTTAAAGCTGGTGCTTTTCACTTAGAAGGACCAGAACAGTGGGATTATGCATCTGTAGAAGACTGTGCACTCACTTAACTCTTCTTCACAATTTAGATGAAAACCTTCGGTGAGATAAGCAAGGATCTCAACACATTGCTAAAATGCCTCAGATCTGGCAAAGAGTACACCAGTGGATGACAGCATACAATCAATGAAAGGGACAATGCTTCATAGGGGAAAGTTCTCCCAGAAGCTAAAATAATAGGAAGCACTGGGCTTCCCTGGTGGAGGTGGTGTTCAGTTGCTCAGTCGTGTCTGACTCTTTGCAACCCCATGAACCGCAGCACACCAGGCCTCCCTGTCCATCACCAACTCTCGGAGTTTACCCAAACTCATGTCCATCGAGTCGGTGATGCCATCCAACCATCAACCGTCGTCCCCTTCTCTTCCCGCCTCCAATCTTTCCCAGCTCCAGGGACTTCTCCAATTAAGTCAGTCTTTTTCCTGGTGGCTCAGCGGTAAAGAGTCCACCTGCCAATGCCGGAGAAACGGGTTGGATCCCTGGTCTGAGAGGATCCCATATGCCGTGGAATGACTCAGCCTGTGCTCTGGGGCCCTTGAGCCTTGAGTACTGAACCCACGTGCGCCCCCACTATGGAAGCCCAAGGCCCCCAGAGCCCGCACTCTGCAACAAGAGACAGGAGAAACCTGAGCACCACAACTAGAGAGCAGCCCGTGTTCACCATGACTACAGAAGAGCCCACAGAGCAAGGAAGACCCAGCACTAAATAAGATCATTAAAAAATAAAAGTAAAATAACTCAAAGGAAGCAGCGTACAGTAGCTGTGCCCAACTGTCCCATGCACACACGGCCTCCAAAGCTCCGAGCTCTGCACCTGGCTCCTGAGTTATCTTTCACAGGAAGCTCACACGTGGTTTGCAACGAGCCACAGCCACACAAGACGCTCCCCTCCTCTGGTATGCTAGAAAATACCACGTGTACACTCGCGAGCTGCAGGCTGGGCCCCCAGCTGGTCAGATGTGCACGCACTGACCTTTAGGGTCATGGAGCTATTACCACAAAAGGCCTCAGCACGCCTGGAGCTGCTCTCCACTTTGTCTGGGGCTGAGGTTCCATCACTGCACGGTACTGAGTCCAGCTCTGATCAAAGAGGACGTATTTACACATACTTATCCTGGCCTCTGAGAACGGTATCAGTTTCTGTTTTATCCTATGAAGACGGGAAGGAGGGAGGGTAGTTCCCCACTTATAATTCAGTTGGACGACCGGGACTTGCGTTGTTTTATAGCAAAACAACTCAAGCAGACGCTCAGTTATCAGCGTGCAGGGTAAGATCTGCTTTCTCTGCACACCCCGTCTTCCTCTCCGAACCACACCTGGAGGAAGCAGGTGTGTCCTCAGCCTCCGTCCCCGACCTGTGGTTTCTGCCAGGGGGGTGGGGGCCACGGGGAGCAGCCTCTGCCCGCAGGCTGGGGTGCTCCCAAGGACTCAGGTGGGGGCCGGCAGTCTGGGTTGGAGGCCCTGCTCTGCGGCTGACCAGTGGCGGGGAGCTGGGGACCTGTGTTCAGGGCCCAGCTGGGCCTCGGCTAACCTCTGTGTACGCTGGGGGCGCAAGAACAAGGATACGCCTACTGGGTGTGTGTGTCACCTGAGCGGGAAATCTGTGCAGAGCTCTGAGCAAAGTGCCGGGCCCAGCCTCAACAGCTGGAGCACCCAGGGGGTGAAGCATCGCCTCTGCAGAGGGAGGTTAGGGATCCTCTGTGAGTCAAGAGGAAGGCAGTTAGGGATCTGCTGTGAGTTAACAGGAAGGCAACTGCAAGGAGATCCAACCAGTCCATCCTAAAGGAGATCAGTCCTGAGTATTCACTGAAGGACTGATGCTGAAGCTGAAGCTCCAATACTCTAACCACCTGATGTGAAGAACTGACTCTTTGGAAAAAAAAGCCCCTGCAATGGGTGACCCTCTGTGAGTTAAGTGGAGGGCCGTTAGGGACCCTCTGTGTGTTAAGAGGAGGGCCGTTGGAGACCCTCTGTGAGCTAAGAGGAGGGCCGTTGCGGACCCTCTGTGTGTTAAGAGGCGTTACAGGGTCTGCTTTCTCCCGTCCCCCACAGCTCACACAAAGCCCCTGCAATAGGGGACTCTCTGTGAGTGAAGAGGAGGGCCGTTGGGGATCCTCTGTCACTTGACAGGAGGGTGGGTAGGGATCTTCTGTGAGCTAAGAGGAGGACCCTTGGGGACCCTCTGTGTGTTAAGAGGCGATACAGCCTCAGCATTCTCCCGTCCCCCACAGATCACACAAAGCTCCTGCAATCGGGGACCCTCTGTGAGTTAAGAGGAATGCCGATAGGGACCCTCTGTGTGTTAGGAGGAGGGCCGTTGGGGAACCTCTGTGAGTTAAAGGAAGGGCCGTTGGGGACCCTCTGTGAGCAAGAGGAGGGCCGTTGGGGACCCTCTGTGAGCTAAGAGGAGGGCCGTTGGAGACACTCTGTGTGTTAAGAGGCGTTACAGGCTCTGCTTTCTAACGTCCCCCACAGCTCACCCAAAACCCCTGCAATGGGGGACCCTTTCTGAGTTAAGAGGAGGGCCGTGGGGACCCTCTCTGTGTTAAGAGGCATTACAGGCTCTGCTTTCTCCCGTCCCTCACAGCTCACACAAAGCCCCTGCAATGGGGGACCCTCTGTGACTTGAGAGGAGGGCCGTGGGGACCCTCTGTGTGTTAAGAGCGTTAGAAGCTCTGCTTTCTCCCGTCCCCCACAGCTCACACAAAGCCCCTGCAATGGGCGACCCTCTGTGAGTTGAGAGGAAGGCCTTGGGGACCCTCTGTGTGTTAAGAGAGTTAGAAGCTCTGCTTTCTCCCGTCCTCCACAGCTCACACAAAGCCCCTGTAATGGGGGACCCTCTGTGAGTTAAGAGGAGGGCCGTTGAATACCCTCTGTGATTTAAGAGGAAGGGGGTTGGGGATCCTGTGTGAGTTTAGAGGAGGGCCTTTGGGGATCCTCCGTGAGGTAAGAGGAGGGCCGTTGGGGATCCTCTGTGAGTTAAGAGGAGGGACGTTGGGGACCCTCTGTGAGTTAAGAGGAGGGCCAATGGGGACCTTCTGTGTGTTAAGAAGAGGGCCGTGGGGACCTTCTGTGTGTTAAGTGGCGTTACAGGCTCTGCTTTCTCCCGTCCCCCACAGCTCACAAAAAGCCCCTGCAATGGGGGATCCTCTGTGAGTTGACAGGAGAGCGGGTAGGGATCCTCTGTGAGCTAAGAGGAGGGCCGTTGGGGACCCTCTGTGTGTAGAGGCGTTACAGGCTCTGCTTTCTCCCGTCCCCCACAGCTCACACAAAACCCCTGCATTGGGGGACCCTCTGGGAGTTAAGAGGAGGGCCGTTAGGAACCCTCTGTGTGTTAAGAGGAGGGCCGTTGGGGACCCTCTGTGAGTTAAGAGGATGGCCGTTGTGAACCCTCTGTGAGCTAAGAGGAGGGCCGTGGGGAACCTCTGTGTGTTAAGAGGCGTTACAGGCTCTGCTCTCTCCCGTCCCCCACAGCTCACACAAAGCCTCTGCAATGGGGGACCCTCTGTGAGTTAAGAGGAGGGCCGTTGATGATCCTCTGTGAGCTAAGAGGAGGGCCGTTGGGGACCATCTCTGAGTTAAGAGGAGGGACGTTGGGGACCCTCTGTGAGTTAAGAGGAA